ACTCCGAATCAATGGCATCATGTGGCCACTGACGACAACCCTGCAGATATCGCTAGTCGTGGCGCTTCTGCACACAAGACTTTAAGTTCTACCTGGCTGTCTGGACCAGAGTGCCTAGCCAACCCTGACTTTCCAAAGGTTTTTTCATTTACTGAGGAGCCGGACCTTCCTGAGGTTCAGTCCTGCAAAGCTACAACTCTAGAGCACAACACACAGTTTGGAGTTTTGGATCCATCTATTTTTGAACGATTTTCAAGCTGGCCCACCTTGAAGGGCATGGTGGCCAGACTCTTTCATTTAGCTGTGCACAAAAAGGGAGGCAACCCCCAAAGCCAAGACTTTTCAAAGGCTGAGAATTTGATTTTCAGGTCTGTCCAGAGGGACATGTTTAAAAAAGGGGTCGACTGCCTTCAGAGGGGAGCCAGTCTCCCTGAAGACAGCGGTATTAAGTCGTTAAACCCCTTTTTAGACTCTCAGGGAGTTCTTAGAGTGGAAGGGAGATTAAACAGATCCAAGTTTGCTGACTGCATCAAAAACCCTGTCATCGTCCCTAAAGGCCATCTAGCCACCTTGTTGATTCGCTATTTTCACGGCAAGGTACAGCATCAGGGCAGGTCCCTTACAGAAGGGACGCTGAGAAATCAAGGTTTCTGGTTAGTCAATGCCAGAAGGCTAGTTAGTAGTGTCATTTACAAGTGTGTTACATGCAGGAGGCTAAGAGCCAGTTGCCAAAACCAACTTATGTCAGAACTACCCCCAGATAGGACCCAAATTGACCCTCCTTTCACCCATATTGGTATAGATGTGTTTGGTCCTTGGGAGGTGGTTACTAGGAGAACTCATGGATGCCCTGTTAATAACAAAAGATGGGCAGTCATCTTCACCTGTTTAGTTATCCGAGCCATTCACATTGAGGTGATCGAATGTATGGATACTTCTGCCTTTTTAAATGCTTTAAAGAGATTTATCTCTATCAGGGGTCCTGTTAGGACGATCAGATCGGATTGTGGCACAAATTTTGTTGGGGCAACCAAAGAATTAGACTGTGCTGTTAAGTTTGCCAAGGACTCCAGTGTCAACAATTATTTGAATGCAGAAAAGGTTACATGGTTATTTAATGTACCGCATGCGTCTCACATGGGGGGTGGGTGGAAACGTATGATTGGTTTGTATAGAAAGACTTTAAATGCTATGTTTCTAAAGTATAAGAATTTGACTCACGATGTTTGGGTCCGTTTATTATAGTGTAGATTTCTCATCATTGAGAAATCTAGGCCAGGAGTGTTCTGGAACAGCTGTTCCAGGAGCTCCAGATTTATTTGCTGTGTTTGCATGTTTGTGTGCAATCCCATGCTTGGGATTTGTAGCAGGGGGTTTCCTGTTATAATTTGCATTTATAGGGTAAGCCACCTGCCAGTTATAGTTAGGTTCCCTGATCCCGCCCCTTTTTGAGTTTTGGAGGGAAAAAAGCCATTTTGAGTTAGTTCTCACAGAGAAGCCTTTCACACAGGACATAGAACGAAGTGGCTCCTGTAGAAAAGCTTCGTCTTTTACAGCTTGTGCTGTCGCACGCTGGGCCTGTGCATTAGACTGTACACAGGACATAAATTCTCTGTGCCCAACGGGACGCCGGGGCTGCCTCAGAATAAAGGCCCTTAGATTCCCCCAAACAGAGTCTTTAGAATGCTTAAAGTAAGTCCAACAAAGTTCTTTTATTAAGGAACAAACAGGTACTTTAACGGTTTTCTTAACAGTCTATAGGCTCTTTCAATCTTGTCCACTAGGAACAGGCACTGTCTTCTTAACTGTAACTAACTGATGGGGAAATCCTAGCTTCTAATCTGGGCAGTCTGTACTTGCCTCTGTTGACGTGGAGCCCCTGCACCCGGTACCAACTGCGTCTGGCTTCCGCGAGTGACCCTTGCCTCAACAGAGCTTTGTAGACCTCCAGGGAAAAAGAAGGAGTTCAGGTTGCTGTGATGGCCAGGGATTCCTTCCTACAGCCTTGGGAGTTTCCAGGAAGATAGCCAACTCTAAAGAACATCCATTGCCTGTCTGGTAGGTCCTCTCAGTGTTTCGAGAAGCAGTTCGGCCTGGCAGAGGAGCCCACACCAGCGGGGGTTGGATTTTAGTAGCCTTGGGAGAAGTTAAAAAGGGGAATTTTCCTTTGAAGAAAGTTATGCGGTCAAGTTTGAGAGAGCGGATACCTTACCAAGAAAGCTTTACAATTCCTGTTGGATTCATTAAATAAAAGACTTTGTTGTACCTTTTAAGCCACTTGAAGATTCCTTCTGTAAAGGAAGCCTCTGAGAACTTTTCCTAGGGTCCCTGGCTTCCCGCTGGGTAAAGGTTACACATCCTATATCTAAAGTCAACTAGCTATAGGCCCAGCGGCGACAGATCATATACATTTCATAATTCATGTAATATCAGTAAGATGACACATCCCATTGTACAAAGTCCCCCTTTCTTTAAAATGTGGCAAGATCTATGTCTAATTGGCCATTCACTAGCTGCTATGAGAAGAGTCAAAAAAAGATGTGTTGCCCCATTTTGCAAGAAACTTGTCAATAAGATGTCCCTATAAATGACAAAGAGATGAAGGCAGTGTTCAAAACCTGATGTCTACAGGATATTCTCTAAACCAGAGGTCCCCAAACTAAGGCCAGATGCGGTCCTCCAAGGCCACTTACCTGGCCTCCACCCTAAACTTTCGACTTAGGATCACCCGAAATCTGAAACACCTTAAAGGCACACAACAACCACCCCAATTAAATTGACTATTAGCCCCCAGTGGCGCAGTGGGTTAAACCCCTGTGCCGGCAGGACTGAAGACCGACAGGTCACAGGTTCGAATCCAGGGATAGGCAGATGAGCTCCCTCTATCAGCTCCATCTCCTCATGCGGGGACATGAGAGAAGCCTCCCACAAGGATGATAAAAACATCAAATCATCCAGGCGTCCCCTGGGCAACGTCCTTGCAGACGGCCAATTCTCTCACACCAGGAGTCACTCCTGACACGACAAAAAAAAACTTGACTATTTCATCAGCCAAAAGCAAGCCCACACTTCCTTTTGAAATACCAGTAACTTTATTGTTCTTCGTTTTAACTTTTGTATTGTTCTTTCACCCTTTTTTTACACTACAAATAAGATATGTGCAGTGTGCATAGGAATTTGTTAATGTCTTTTTTCAAACTATAGTCCAGCCCCACAACAGTGAATTGACTCCGTTTAAAATGCTTGAGAACTTCTGCTCTAAACCAAGATTTGGGCAAACATTATAAGACCTAGTGGCATAAATCCTAGGTCTGAATTTAGATTCCCATGTAAACAAAAATGAGAATCATGACAAAAGCTGAAACAATGGAATTTATTGGACCCAGAGGAAAACAATGCTGCTGCCTTCTGATGGCTACTTGATTTTTTGCTCTGTTTTGCTTGGAACTCTTTTGAGTAAAACTGCATCCTATAATGTTCTTAATTGGTGCTGTCTTAGTTACAAATGACAAATATATTTTATGTCCTACCTAGACCGAATATGCAAACAGCCTTTTTCCTTGAGAACACAAGCCCTATTGGAAATGAGCAAAGGCTATGGAGCAACATTTTTACTGTTTGTTTTCCTTTCTTTTGCTCTTAAAGACAGACAACTGCCACAAAACCTTTAAGTGGTTGGGTTGTTGTAGGTTTTTTTCAGGCTATATGGCCATGTTCTAGAGGCATTCTCTCCTGACATTTCACCTGCATCTATGGCAACATCCTCAGAGGTAGTGAGGTCTGTTGGAACTAGGAAAAAGGGTTTATATATCTGTGGAATGACCAGGGTGGGACAAAGGACTCTTGTCTGCTGGAGCTAGGTGTGAATGTTTCAACTGACCACCTTGATTAGCAATTTGATGGCCTGGCAGTTGTTTGGTGTGTCTTGTTAGTGCCTGGGGCAATCTTTTGTTGAGTGGTGATTAGATGTCTCTGATTGTTTCCTCTCTGTTGTTTTGCTGTTGTAATTTTAGAGTTTTTTTAATACTGTAGCCAGATTTTGTTCATTTTCATGGTTCCCTCCTTTCTTTAAGTGGTTTCCTTTCATTAAGTGGTTGTAGGTTCTATTAAGCTTCAATATATTATTTATTTATTTACTTTACTTGTATACCGCACTTCTCAGCCCTAGGGCGACTCATATTACAGAACATTTTTAAGAGTGTTTCAAAAATTTTCTATTATCTTCCTTTCGTTTTGGACCTTAAAAACCATATAATTGCTCTTTTTAGTAATTCTCTGCAACTCTCCTTCTGCTTTCAACTGATATATATGTGTGTGTCTGGGTGTGTCTGTGTCTGTGTGTGTGTGTGATACATTTTATAGCCTTCGGGCTACCTATCATAAATCAAAGATCACAATTCTGCAGTAACTATGATGGAAATTCCTTTTCTCTTTCATGCTGCTTGCCCTGGGCATGGATTAGACAAGCAACTTATGCTCACTGACAGAGAACAAGTATACAAGTAATTTAATAGCTACTGAAGAGCACCTGCAATTCACCCTGCAAACACTGGATATGAACTCCACTAGTCTATAAGCTTATTGTTTAATTTAAAAATATTCTCCATAAGTAGTGGCCAGGGGGCAGAAACTAAGAAAGCCAGAACCCGATTCTGGTAGAGCTGAATGTAGGAGACTGAGGAAGAACCTGCAATATCAAGGGAAAAGTATGGAGAGGAGGTCACCAGTCTTTTTGTCCTAATGTAGGGGGGGGGGGGGACACCTATCTGAACCACAAATACCTAAGAAGTGAGGACAGATAACATGTTTATGGCAACATCATGTACTGTAGTGCACAATGCAAGGAAAGCAAAAAAAAAATTGTTAAAAAAACCCAGATAAACAAAAAGACCAGTAAATGACCAAGGACGATGATGATGATTATGACAACGACGACAACAACAATATTGTTTATACTCCACTTTTTCTATCCTCAAAGGAGACCCATCTTTGACACTTACCTGTGAGACTGTAAGAAGAAATATCAATATCCAAGGGCCATGTTGATGATCTCAACCTCCTTAACAAAACAGTGTTGACCGTTGTCAAACGTGCTTGTTTATTATCTGAGGAGATGAACCTAAGCACCAACACCACTTCTGCAAAGACGACACCATTGTCTGGCCTGTAAAAGAAGAAAATTGCAGAGTTGGGTACATATAAGCCTGTGCATTGTTTACCTGAGTATTTTCTACAGGTCTTTCTCCACAGACTATAGTCATGTTCATATGAGTCAAAAAAATTGATTCACTTTGCAACTGCTGTGAGGCATCCACATGAGTCCCACCAGGGGTGAGAAGAACACTATATGAATACAGTAAATAAATAGTGATGTGTGGCCGCTTTTACAGCAAAAGTGCTGATTTCAGGTGTTAATCTAGTACAGTGGTTCCCAGCCTTTGTTCCTCCAGTTGTTTTGGACTTCACCTCCCAGAAATCTCAGCCAATTTTCCAGTTGTTAAGAATTCAAGAGTTGAAGTGCAAAACACTTGGAGGACCAAAGATTTGGAACCATTGGTCTAGTATGAGGGGAACTGCAACTTATCCTGGAGCTTCCAGAAAGCTCTCGAATGATCCCAGTGTTTTTGAAGTGTGGACAGCTGGATTGGGGTGGATCCAATCTGTTTCTGTATCCATACATCAAACAAATCTGCTCCTTGCTGGTAACGTCACTTCTGCTGGTCATATGCCTGGATGTTTTGCTGTGACCCTGCCAGAAGCAACAAGAAGGCTTTGCTGGGGAGCTGTTTCTAGTTGGTGATACAGTAGTGGTTGTCTCAATACACTCTCAGGCCCCTGTATTATATGGCAGTGTAGACTCATATAATCCAGTTCAAAGCAGCTAATGTGGATTACCTGCTTTGATCATCCGGATTATATGGCAGTGTAGAAGGGGCATTAATTAACTGAAACATTCTGTTTCAGTTAACTAAGTTCCTACATGCAAGGCAGTCAAATTGTAATTACAGCAGGGCAGCCTTCATTTTGGATTTATCACATGACATTGCTCCTTTCCTGCAGTTCTCCCAGTAGACGACTGTTAGATGTTTTATTTTAGTTCATTTTATTACAATTTGCTGTTTGGGCTTGGCCTCATGTAAACCGCACCGAGTCCCCATTGAGGGAGAATTTTTTTTTTTTTTTGTCGTGTCAGGAGCGACTGCTCCTGTTGTGAGAGAATTGGCCGTCTGCAAGGACGTTGCCCAGGGGACGCCCGGATGATTTCTGATGTTTTATCATCCTTGTGGGAGGCTTCTCTCATGTCCCCGCATGAAGAGCTGGAGCCGATAGAGGGAGCTCATCCGCCTCTCCCGGGATTCGAACCTGCAACCTGTCAGTCTTCAGTCCTGCCAGCACAGGGCTTTAATCCACTACACCACCGGGGGCTCCGTTGAGGGAGATGATGGCAGGGTATAAATAAATATTATTATTATTATTATTATTATTATTATTATTATTATTATTATTATTATGTTGGTTGAGGTTGTTGTTGTTGTTGTTGTTGTTGTTTTTAAGTGATGTGTTAATGAAGCCTTTTCCCACCAAGAGAGAGGTGGAAAAAAGAGTAACGCCATGAGATAAGTCCAAGGCAAAGGCATACTTGTTCCACTGTATCATACAATGCAGTTTGTCTGCCTTGTATGATAAACACCATAATCTGAAATTAACTACCTGAATGAAGATCAAAACAGCTACAACCACCAAAGCAAGATTTATGTCCATTTATGGGAAATAACTGTTATACTACCACCTTCATGGCCTTTTGACTAAGAACAAGTGTAGGATCTACCACCTTTACTATTTTGAAAAAATAACTTTTCCAGCATGGCAGACAATCTTGTGATTACTGTGAATTTGAACCATTTCAGAGTGATTGTGCAAAAACCAATTTAATAGTTTGTGATTACTGTGAATTTGAACAGAATAACAAGTTTATACAATGATACAATGATTTCTATTATTGTCTATTTTCCGTATAAGTGGGATATTTATTGAGCCAGACAATCTAAAGTAGTCAGTAATGCTGTTCGTTACATTTTCTGAGGAAGAGTTTAGTGGGGAAAGGGAGCAGACTCGAAGTTACTAGAAACTATTCAGTTAATGAATAAAATTTCAGTTTGTATTTCCCCTTAAGGGAAACTAAAATGAGAACATGCACATGGAAGAAGTCCATATTAGATTAAATTTTGCTAGGACATGACTCATGTGATTAATTGCATTCTTTTTTTTAAATATATATGTAAGCAAGGAAACATACATGAATCACAGGGGGTTTGAGTCACTCCCACTAATCCACAACTAATTACATGTAACATCTAGTTTCTTTGAATCCCTTTGTATGGTTGGATGCAGCTTTGATGAGAATATATATTCACCTCGTCAGCACAAAAAAAAAATCCTATCCAAGCAAGGGACCCAGTTTTAAGTATCATGATGCAAATGCAGAACTGTTTCCATATACATTCTCTCTGAATGAGAGAGAAGGCTGTAAAGGCTTTATCCATCCTAGTCAACCAGCATTCCTTTGCAGTCATTCTGATTCAGGTCTGTTCAGAAATGTGGAAATTAGATGTAGCAAGGACAGCTACATCTAATGATGCTTCTATACTATTTGACACAATTTTAACTGCCATGGTTCAATGATATAGAATCATGGGACTGGTTATTTTTACAAAATGTTTACCTTCTCTATTAAAGAGTGCTGCTGCCCCAGCAAACTACAAATTCCAGGATTCTATAGCATTGAGGTATGGCAATCAAAATGGTGTCAAACAACATTAGTTGTTCTACAGTGTAGGCAGAGGCGGCCCTAGGTAATTGTCAACGGTAAGCAAACAGTATTTTGGCGCCCCCCCCCCAACCAATCACTGATATATATGAGGGGTATTTTTTAAGTAAGGTCCGTTTTGTTGTAGACACTAGTAGTTCGCGCGCATACCGCAACGAGTACGTGCGTCGTGTACTGGCATGCCTCGGGAACAACTGTCCTCAGTTTCCGCTCTGTAGCTAACCTGTACGGTTCTGTTCTGTGCTTTAAAAATGTTTAAGACTATAAACTCGCCCACCGCATGTGAGGTTCGCTCAGTGATACGGTTTTTGTCAGCAAGGAACCTGCCTGCTGCAGAAATTCATCGACAGATTTGTGAAGTGTACGGTGATACAGTTATGAGTGAAAGCGAAGGGCATAAGTGGGTATGACAATTCAAAGATGGCCGTGACAACGTCCATGATGAGGACTGCTCCGGTCGACCTTCTTTGATTACAGACAATTACAGTGAACTCTTGGTTATCAGAGCAGGCGGCAAGTTTTTATGAAGAGGGTATTGGTTCAGAGGTATGATAACCGTTTGAACAAACTTGGCAACTATGTCGAAAAACAGAGTGAAGTATGTACTTTCTGAAAATAAATTTACTTTTTTGAAATAAACTTTCATTGTGTACTTATTAGGGCTGGGCAACCACGGAAAAATGTGTTTCTAAACTCGATTCGTTTCCAGGGAGTGCTAGCATTTCTAAATTCTAAAGACTTCCGAAATTTGAGATTTCAAAGTTTTGTTATTTACGAAATTTCGTTAATTTCGGATCGATTCGTTAATGGCAGACGCAATCGCGCAATATGCTAAAAAAACCTCCAAATGGGACAGGGGGAACTTCTGAAGCTTCCCTCTCCCTCTGTTGTTGACTGTTGGTGTGATAAAACAAACAACGTAATTATTTTCACATGTCTGGTGCAAATTACGAAAAAATTACGAAATAATTTCGAAATAATAACAAAATAATTACGAAATAAATTGAAAAAATTGTTTTGAATCTAATTTACTCCTCACACTATTCCTGCCTGGCTCAATATCGGATCGTAAGCTAATTTAAATGCGAATTAATAACGAATTACGAAATTAACAAACGAAACCGCCCAGCCCTAGTACTTATGTTCAAACAGACCTTACTTAAAAAATACCCCTCGTATTTTCTGTTCGTCGTGGGAGTTGTGTGTGCCATATTTGGTTCAATTCCATCACTGGTGGAGTTCAGAGTGCTCTTTGATTGTAGGTGAACTATACATCCCAGTAACTACAACTCGCATATGTCAAGGTCTATTTTCCCCCAAGAGTGCCTCAAGAGCGCCCCTGGTCAAAATCAACTATACTGAAAATGCTTACTTTGCGTAATGGGTTGAGCTGCCCCTGAGTGTAGGTGAACCCTCCTTTTCTGTTGTAACATGAGTCAAAGGATTCCTTCAGCATAAAGTTGGGAGTGATGACTTAATTCAAAGACAGTTTTCCATCCAAGTAGATTTCAGAACTAAGCCTGGCACCCCAGCCTATAGAGTGGACCCACACAGTCTGACATTTACCCAAGTGCTGTTCTAGTCTTCAGAAACTGAAGATCTGAACTCATTCCTGAATCTCCCAAGTTAGTTCCCACCAGAAAGAGAGTCAAGATCTTTTAAATATGTTAGCATTCAAAGGGTATAAGTAGATGGAATGATTTATGAATTTTAAAATGATCACACCCACTTTTAAAATCCATCTTCCAGCTTTATTAACAGTGGGAGACATTCATATTTAAATACTGTTGGGCAAAGCCCAAGGCATGAATATCAGAACAATCAGGCATGCAATCATACAGCAGAGTAATCTAGCTAATTAGCCTGTTACGAACACCCAGTTCTAAGAAGAGAGAGCAAGTCTCAATTAGCCTATTGCATTTTGCAGAGTAAGCCCCATTAAGAAAGTACACAAAATACCTGCCATTCCAAATTTCAGGGTCTGGATTCTATTCTCCAGTTCTTAGCACAAGAGAGGTGAAACTCAGGGTTCACACGTGCTTTCTTCATTTGTTAGACTGTGCATGTTGTTGTTTGTGCAAATGTGGTTAATGCTTCATATACCACGTTTCATGACATCACCAGTGCTCTACCCCTGACATACCACAATGAGTTTTCCCTAGGACTCATGTTTTGCCACTGAAATATCTAGGCCTGAAATAATTATGACTTAGCGCTAACAGCAAGCAATTTGCATTGTATACTGTTGAGGAATCACATCATACACTTTGGAGGAAAAGTAGGGCATCAATTGAACATACCATTATCTATATAAATAAACATGTAATGTTCGTTTGTGCTATTCACAGAACTCAAAAACCACTGGGGCAATTGGCACCAAATTTGGACACAAGACACCTAACAGTCCAATTTATGTTCTCATCTCAAAAAAACTGATTTTGTCATTTGGGAGTTGTAGTTGCTGGGATTTATAGTTCACCTACAATCAAAGAATTCTGAACTCCCCGACAATAGAATTGAACTAAACTTGGCACACAGTTCTCCCATGACCAACAGAAAATACTGGAAGGTTTGGTGGGCAGTGTCCTTTGGTTTTGGAGTTGTAGTTCACCTACATCCAGAGATCACTGTGGACTCAAACAATGATGGATCTGGACCAAACTCTACACGAATACTCAATATGCCCAAATGTGAACACTGGTAGAGTTTGGGGAAAATAGAATATTGACATTTGGGAGTTGTAGTTGCTGGGATTTATAGTTCACCTACAATCACAGAGCATTCTGTATCCCACCAACGATAGAATTAGACCAAGCCTCCCACAGAGAACCCCTATATGGGCCATAGCAACGTGTGGCAGGGGACAGCTAGTCTTATCATATATATTATGATTAGGGATGATAATAATAATATAATAATAATACACTTTATTTATATACGCGGAAGATGTCACCAGAATCCTGGCTGCTGCAAAACCAACCACCTGTTCCCTTGATCCGTGCCCCTCTTGGCTGGTTAAGAGCTGCCTGGAAGGACTATTCGATCCTTTGAGCAATATAATCAATGGCTCTCTTGAACAAGGGGTTTTCCCGGATAACCTAAAAGAGGCAAGGGTCCGTCCCCTGTTGAAGAAGCCCAACCTGGACCCTATGACCCTTGCCAATTATCGTCCCGTCTCTAATATTCCATTCTTAGGTAAGGTGATAGAGCGGGCTGTATTGGGACAATTGCAGCAATTTTTGGATGACACAGCCGGCCTGGATCCTTTCCAGTCAGGTTTTTGCCCGGGTCATGGGACGGAGACGGTCCTGGTTGCTATTACAGATGAACTTCATCGTCAGTCTGATAGCGGCGAATCAGCGCTTCTGGTACTTCTTGATCTTACCACAGCGTTTGACACGATTTAATGATCCACCGTCTCGCTAAGTCCGGAGTTCGCGGTCAGGCCCTCAATGGGTTCAATTCATTCCTCCGAAATCAGAGTCAGTGCGTGGAATATATGGATCAAGTGTCCGAAAGTTCCCCCCTCCTATGCGGGGTACCCCAAGGTGCAATTCTCTCCCCTCTTCTTTTAAACATCTAAGTTAGACCCCTTGCCAGTTTGGCTTGGAGATTCGGCCTGGACAGCTATCAATATGCAGACGACACCCAACTCCTGTTGCGCTTGGAGCCTGGAGTAACGTCAATACCTGACAATTTCACCTTATGCATGGAGGCTCTGTCAAACTGGCTACATGCTAGCAGACCAAAGGTGAATCCGGCGAAGACTGAGATCCTGTGGCATGGCCGCCCGATAGGTCCGACCCATCTGTTACCTACCTTTGATGGCGCTGCTTTATCTCCATCACCTACTGTTAAGAGCCTTGGTGTCGTTTTGGATTCACAGCTGACAATGGAAGCTCAGGTCGCTGCTGCCAGCAAACAGGCCTTTTTCCATCTACGACAAGCGAGGTAACTGGCACCTTACCTGTCGGATGAGGCTCTGGCAACTGTCCTCCATGCCACGGTCACATCTAGGCTGGACTATTGTAATGCCTTGTATGTTGGCCTTCCTATTTCTACGACCCGAAAGCTACATATTGTCCAGAATGCTGCAGCCAGGTTACTCACAAAAATGCCCATGAGATGCCATATAACACCAGTGCTGCGGCATCTACACTGGCTCCCAATTGAGTATCGTGGTTTGTATAAGATGCTGGTCCTGACCTTTAAAACTTTATATGGCCAGGACCCATTGTATCTTAGAGACCGTCTCTCCTTCTACCATCATCGGAGGTCACCACGACCATCCCAACGCAATTTGCTCTGTTTACCGGGTCCTAGGGAAGTGCGCTTGGAAAGCACCAGATGCAGGGCCTTCTCTATTTCTGCCCCTGCCTTGTGGAATTCCTTGCCTCCCTATTTGAGAGCCATACGTGACTTGGGGCATTTTATCCTAGCACTTAAGACCTGGCTTTTTACCAGAGCATTTGATCCATGTTAATTTTAATATTTGTATGTATGTGGTTTATCCTGTATAATTTCTGCACTGTAAATCGCCTGGAGCATCTCGGATGGAGGGCGATTAATAAGTAATTAAAGATGAGATGCGATATACGCCACCATCTCTTCCCAAAGGGGACTCGGGGCGGCTAACATGAGGCCAAGCCCAAAATAATACAACATAATAAACACACAATAACAAAATACATCATAACAAAATATAAAATAACAAAATCAACAATATAAAATAGCATACTAAAACCAGACACAGAGGGCGAGCCAAATGTATGAGGTAAAATGTTAAAAAGTTAAAACCCTGAGTGAGATAGGGATAAAAGTGCATTTGTAGGAAAGGGGCCAAACAGGGAGGAACCATGGGATTTAGCCATTAGAGGGGTGGGAAGATGCTTTATTCTGAGGGCAGCTGTAGACTAAGACAACCAGATGGGTTGAGTGGTCATTCTCCAAAAGTACAATGGAAGAGCCAGGTTTTTAGGTCTTTCTTAAAGACCTAAAATACCATATATCCCCCTTTTCCTAAATAGATTTTCTTTGTCAGAGCTAAATTTTCATATTATTCCAAAGTAAATATGCAATCTTTTTTCCTGTCAGAGTGACTTGAGAAACTGCAAGTCACTTCTGGTGTGAGAGAATTGGCCGTCTGCAAGGATGCTGCCCAGGGGATGCCCAGATGTTTTACCATCCTTGTGGGAGGTTTCTCTCATGTCCCCGCATGGAGCTGGAGCTGACAGAGGGAGCTCATCTGCACTCTGCCTGGATTCAAACTGGCAACCTTCAGGTAAGCAACCCAACCTTCAAGACAGCAGTCCTGCTGACACAAGGGTTTAACTTATTGTGCCACTGGGGGCTCCTATATCATTATAGTGATCAGTGGTTTGAAGCAGTCAGTGGCCAAATGTGTCTTTTCTGTTTTTCAAAATATGGTAACCCAAATTACTGGCTAAATCCAATGGCTAGTCCCAGCTTTACAGACCTACTGCATCCATGGGATGTGTTAAATAGAAATTTATCTTATTTATTTATTTACGACATTTGTATCCTGCCATATCAGCCCAAAGGTGACTCAGGGCATGCGTACAAGCCGGCAACAATTAGATGCCATATATAAAAATACATACATTGGTAAAAAGCAAAAACATCACAATACATTTAAAAACCATAAAAACAATGAATAATAAAAATTATAAAAACTATGTCTTCTTGTTCAAATCCTCAACTGTTCCATCGTCTTAGCCATTCCTAGTTCATTTCTGATTTGAGTTTTTGGTCATGCTGTGGTTCCAAACACTTGCTCAAAGAGCCAGGTTTTCACTCTTTTTTTAAAGGTCAGGAGGGAAGGGGCTGATTTAATACCCCTAGGCAGGGAGTTCCACCACAGAGAAGGCCCTGTCTCTCATCCCCGCCAAACGTGCTTGGGAAGCAGGAGGGATCGAGAGCAGGGCCTCCTCAAACGATCTCAAGCTCCTGGAAGGTTCACAGGGAGAGATGCGTTCAGATAGATAAGCTGGGCTGGAACCATTTAGTTAAGTAGGTCTACTCCAATGATGAGCACATATTAGTTTATGCATGCAGCCACAGTGAACTCAGGTGTTATATGATAGCTATATAGTCAAAACAAGGGATCCAGAGGCTTTAACAAGCTTCTTCTGGTGAGACACTCTACAAGGTAAACTTAAATCTACATTTAAAGTCATCTTGGCCAGTATGATTTTTGGACAAATTCTGTCCTGGTTTCTTTTTTTTTTGGCAATTGTCCCATTTAGCTAGATTTTTATTTTACTTACCTTAGCCTAATGACATGTGATCTGATGAATCTTTTACTTAAATGAGTAGCTTGAAATGCCTGATTAATCTGTTAAAAGAAATGAAAAGTACAGGAATGGCAAACAAAAATCTGTTAAATACAATCACTTAGGAGGAAAAATGTTTCATGTTGCACTATGGCTATGAGTATTCAAGCCGTGATTTTTCAAAAACCAATTCCCCTTTTGTTATCAACTGACTTAATATATCCCACAAGGTGCACATGAATGACTCTCACTTTCAAAAGTGACTTGCTCTGTGGCGTGTGGAAGAACATTGTAAATTTAAAGCTACCTTTTAGTGTCAAATAACTAGTTTCACACTGGAAGTAGCCCAAGAAAGGAGGAAAGCAAAAGGAAACAGCAATAAGGGGAGATATGCTCAGTTAAATGCGCAATTCCAGAGGTTAGCCAGAAGAGATAAGGAACTATTTCTAAATAAACAATGCATGGAAGTGGAAGAAGACAACAGAATAGGAAGGACAAGAGACCTCTTCCAGAAAATTAGAAACATTGGAGGTAAATTTCAGGCAAAAATTGGTATGATAAGAAACAAAGATGGCAGAGACCTAACAGAAGCGGAAGAGATCAAGAGAAGGTGGCGAGACTATACAGAAGATCTGTATAGGAAGGATAATAATATCGAGGATAGTTTTGACAGTGTGGTGAATGAATTAGAACCAGACATCCTGAGGAGTGAGGTTGAATGGGCCTTAAGAAGCATTGCTAACAACAAAGCAGCAGGAGACGACGGAATCCCAGCTGAACTGTTTAAAATCTTGAAAGAGGATGGTGTCAAGGTGATGCATGCCATATGCCAGCAAATATGGAAAACACAAGAATGGCCATCAGACTGGAAAAATCAACTTATATCCCCATACCAAAAAAGGGAAATGCGAAAGACTGCTCAAACTTTCGTACAGTGGCCCTTATTTCACATGCCAGTAAGGTAATGCTCAAGATCCTGCAAGGAAGACTCCAGCAATACATGGAGCGAGAGTTGCCAGATGTTCAAGCTGGGTTTAGAAAAGGCAGAGGAACCAGAGACCAGATTGCCAATATCCGCTGGATAATGGAGAAAGGCAGGGAGTTTCAGAAAAACATCTACTTCTGCTTCATTGACTACTCTAAAGCCTTTGACTGTGTGGATCATAATAAATTGTGGCAAGTTCTTGGTGGGATGGGCATCCCAAGCCACCTTGTCTCTCTCCTGAGGAATCTGTATAAGGACCAACAGTCAGAACTGACCACGGAACAACAGACTGGTTCAAGATTGGGAAAGGCGTACGGCAAGGTTGCATACTCTCACCCAACCTTTTTAACTTGTATGCAAAACACATCATGCGATGTGCGGGGCTTGATGAATGCGAGGCTGGGGTGAAAATTGCTGGAAGAAACATTAACAACCTCAGATATGCAGATGACACCACTCTGATGGCCGAAAGCGAGGAGGAGCTGAGGAGCCTTCTAATCAAGGTGAAAGAAGAAAGTGCAAAAGCTGGGTTGCAGCTAAACATAAAAAAAAACCAAGATTATGGCAACAACAATAATTGACAACTGGGAAATAGAGGGAGAAAAAGTGGAGGCCGTGACAGACTTTGTATTTCTAGGTGCAAAGATTACTGCAGACGCAGACTGTGGCCAGGAAATCAGAAGACGCTTACTTCTTGGGAGGAGAGCAATGTCCAATCTCGATAAAATAGTAAAGAGTAGAGACATCACACTGACATCAAAGATCCGCATAGTCAAAGCCATAGTATTCCCTGTAGTCAACTACGGATGTGAGAGCTGGACCTTAGGGAAGGCGGAACGAAGGAAGATAGATGCTTTTGAACTGTGGTGTTGGAGGAAAGTTCTGAGAGTGCCTTGGACTGCAAGAAGATCCAATCAGTCCATCCTCCAGGAAATAAAGCCCGACTGCTCATTGGAGGGAAGGATACTAGAGACAAAGTTGAAGTACTTCGGCCACATCATGAGGAGACGGCAAAGCCTGGAGAAGACAATTATGCTGGGGAAAGTGGAAGGTAAAAGGAAGAGGGGCCGACCAAGGGCAAGATGGATGGATGGCATCCTTGAAGCGACTGGACTGACCTTGGAGGAGCTGAGGGTGGTGACGGCCGACAGGGTGCTCTGGCGTGGGCTGGTCCATGAGGTCACGAAGAGTCGGAGACGACTGAACGAATGAACAACAACAAACTAGTTTCACAGTTCTTTGGATTTTGGATTCTACAAAAATATTTATCCATGGACTTGATATCCATAGCTTCACTTGTCTGCAGTCCCAAAAATATCCCCCAGTTCTCCAAAGGAAGTACAATCAAAATGGAGGGTTCACTATTACTGTATCTGTGCTTTCAGGTATACACAGGGTGACTTGGAATAATATTATTTATTTATTATTTTAATTATTTCGGGCTTTTATATCCCATCCTCTCTCAACCTCTGCAGAAGGACTCAGGACAGCTAACAAATCGGCACCCCATGGTGCCCATACCAACATAAATATACAATTTAACAGCAATATAGCAATGAAACAGTATAAAACGTTATAAAACAATATAAAAGCCAAAACCAAGGTTATAACAACATCTGTTATAGAACTCCAGTATGCTGATGACAACGTCGTCTGTGCACATTCAGAAGAAGACCTACAAGCCACTCTATACACCTTCGCAGAAGCATACAAGAAGCTCGGCTTGTCATTAAACATCGGGAAAACCAACGTGCTCTTCTAGCAGTCACCAGCCAATCCCTCTGCAATGCCAGAGGTACAGCTTAATGGTGTAACATTAGAAAATGTTGACCATTTCTGCTACCTTGGCAGCCACCTCTCCACAAAAATCAACATTGACACTGAAATTCAACACTGCCTGAACTCTGCAAGTGCAGCATTTTTCCGAATGAAGCAGAGAGTGTTTGAGGACTGGGACATCCATAGGGATACCAAGGTGCTTGTTTATAGAGCTACTGTCCTCCCAACCCTGCTATACGCCTGCAAGACGTGGACAGTCTACAGACATCACATGCAACTCCTGGAACGATTCCATCAGCGCTGCCTCCAAAAAATCTCTTGGGAAGACAAACAGGCAAGTGTCAGTGTGCTGGAAGAAGCAAAGACCACCAGCATTGAAGTAATGGTCCTCCGCTATCAACTCTGCTGGACTGGCCACGTTGTCCTGATGCCCGACCACCGTCTCCCAAAGCAGTTGCTCTACTCTGAACTCAAGAATGAAAATGGAATGTTGGTGGACAGGAAAAGAAATTTAAAGATGGGTTCAAAGCCAACCTTAAAAATTCTGGCATAGACATGGAGAACTGGGAAGCCCTGGCCCTTGAGCACTCCAGTTGGAGGTCAGCTGTGACCAGCAGTGCTTTAGAATTTGAAGAGGCACAAATGGAGGGCGAAAGAGAGAAACATGCCAAGAGGAAGGCACGTCAAGCCAACCCTGACCGGGACCGCCTTCTATCTGGAAACCAATGCCCTCACTGCAGGAGAAGATGTAGATCCACCACAGTTACCTACGGACCCACTGCCAGAACACCGACTTTGGAAGACCATCACCCTCGGACTACAAGGGATCGCCTAAGTAAGTAAGTATACAATAACCTAATAAACACAACCAATCTCATTGCGAACCTTCATACATCCACAACTGGAACAAGAAGGGAACACTTTGCACAAATAGACGGATTATTTATGGAGTGCAGATCGACTTGAAGAGCAGATTGACTTGAAAATATTAAAATGTGTGTGTGCATCTCACTTTTATCCTAGTGCAGGGCCCAACAAATTATGTAGAACATAACCAGAAATAAATGAGTCACATTCTTATGCAGTTAGTTCATGCAGCTCTTCTTTCCCACCCATCCACCTCACTTGTCTCTTCGTACATAAATTGTCTGCTCAGGGCTAGGGTAATAGCATTGGAGCAACAGTAGCATTGGTTAAGTTGCAGTAAAAGCAAGGAAAGGAGATTTATGTTCCTTCCCATCCTCCACCCCTATGCCCTTCACTTGATAAATGTATTAACAATAACCCAAGGAGAGGCTATTGATCATGAAATCTAAAAGTAGTAAAATACAACACAGCCCAGCTGTTGTTTCACACAACTAAACTTTTTTTGCAAGAGGAAAACTAGACCATGACAAATGGAATGCCTTCCCATCATAAACAATGCCTGAATGTTGCTTTATGCTCCATTCAATCATTCACATATTATATCTCCCTATATGTTGTACTCAGACTCCTATATGCAAGTTTGCTAATAGCAAATATAGGCACACAGACTTTGCTACCACAACATGATCAAGAATATGAGCCACAATGAGGATTGGGAATCCAGCTGTACTTACAGTGGCAGAAGAGCATAGGCTTTTCTATTTTTGAGAAGCATGGATGTGACAGGTAAGGCGATCTCTAGCATTAGAATGCAACATTGGGAAAAGATCCAGCCACTCATTGAAACTGCCTTGTGATAAGTTACAAAATAAAGACTTATCACATAATAATAATAATAATAATAATAATAATAATAATAATATATTTATTTATACCCCACCACCATCTCCCTGATGGAGCGGGAAGGCTTACATGAGACGAAGCCCAAACAACAAATTACAGCAAAATAAAACCCATGACACGGGTTCTGTGCTATCTCTAGTAGACCTTCATGCCCTTCCTCAGATTCCTGCATTTCCAATCTTCTGCCTTTCAATTGTTTTGTATAATTTATTATTTAAATTTTGTTGCCCTGGGTGGACCCTGGGGGTCCACCCAGGGCAGATATCTCCCTAGAGAGATGGGTCGAGCACTTCTCAGAAGTGTTTGGTGGAATAAACCCTCCCCAAGAAAATGATGATAGTGGAGCTTTAGTGGGACCAAGCTGGGAGCCGGTTACATGCCAGGAAATCATTGACCTAAAGTTAAATAAGGGCCCCAGGCAGTGATGCCATTATCCCTGAAATACTGAAGGCAAACCCACTATGGTGGGCAAACCTGCTAGCAAACCTTTTTACAAGGATCAACGAAACGGGATCCATGCCAAAGGCA